AAAAGGAAAGGATGTGATGGGGGGGGGGCAAACACATCTTGGAATTGGCCACCAAATGAATATGAAAGAGGCCTTACTCATATTTATGTTGATTATTTCAGGTTGCCTGGATCTAATACATGGGTCTACACAATGATGGGATATAGATTAATCTAACACAAACAAGGTGCTTTAAAAATGAAATTTCAAATTTGAAAAAGTAAAGATGTCAACTTACATAGAATTTGGTATCCTTGTAACTGGGCCCCTCTGGATTCTATAGAGCAGGGCTTTTCAACCTTTTCACCCATTGTACCACTTTTAGGATATGGCAACATCCGGGTACCACCAGCAAGGTGTCAAAAACTTGATGACCCCCCCCCCCAAAAAGGAAAAAAAGTGATAAAGTACAGGTAGTCCTTGACTTACAACAGTTTGCTTAGTGACTGTTCGAAGTTACAATGGCACTGAAAAAATGCCCCCCAAGCCACAGCCGAGCAGGACACCTGCCTGCTCTTCCTCCTGTCCGAGGTTTTCTTTGTTGTGAGCATTTCTGTTGAGGATTGGCAACGGGGGTGGGGGGGTGTTTGGGTTTTATTCCCCCCATCTGCTGGGTGGTTGCAGCAGGTTTTGGTCACTTCACATGACCCTGGGACACTGTGACCGTCATAAATATGAATCAGTTGCCAAGCATCTGAATGTAAATCACAAGATCCTGGAGATGCTGCAACATTCCAGCTGATTGGTGCTTCTTCTGGGCTCAGCAGAAGCGTCAGGATCCACTCCGAGCTCCAGCTGGAAAGCGGTGCTGAACCTGGTGCTTCCGCTGAGCCCTGACAACCCTGCAGCTCCAGCCATCTCTCGCTCATGCTTGTGCGGTGCTGCCACCGGTTCAGCTCATTCCCCTCCCCCGCTACCACTTTTCTAGGATGGTCGCGTGCCACCTGTCAGGTGCCAATGTACCACAGGTGGTACCCGTACCACTGGTTGAAAAGCCCTGCTATATAGGACAAACAGGTCAAATTTTGCACAAAAATATTAATGGACATGAATTTGACATCAGGGCTCAAACAAGGACAATGTAACATCAGATCATTTTAATGTCCAAAGACACTGCATTACAGATCTCAAAGTTTCTTGGAAATTATGAAACTTTACAGCAAAACTGAGGGAAAGAATTGATATATGATCACAAGGTTGATCAAAAGGTTTCCAGCTATCTCAGAAGGTCTCAACCAATACAATGGTTTTTAGCACATTGCAATAATTAATTGATAAAGTACTTTTAATTT